TCTCTTTTCTTCACGTTCGCTTTCTTCCTGCACTGGGTCAAATGAATCCTCATAATACACATTAGAGTGAACTAATAAAGGGTACAGCAAGGCTGATAATATCCTTATATTTTAGTAAATGTCGCTTTTTCTTTGAGCTGCTCTGTCATCACACTGTTTTTTCAACTTGTTAAGTTGAATCACTAGAAGTAGAGCTTGTGGAAAAACTCCTGCCAGGGTGAAAACTTTTGTTCTTTCTTAGTTTCTGCATTTCTATGTGTGAAAAATTGATATTTTGCCTCGCAGCATCAAAGGTGTGTATCTTTAGCCCTTTAGCTTTTTTTTACATAGCCAATGTGTCTTCATGTTAAAGTTACATTTTGTTTATTTTCATGTTGGTTAGCAAAGTTTATTTGTTTATTAGATTCCCCTTGTGTTCTCTTCCCCTGTATTTAAGTTTTCCTCACTCTTTATGTGTTTCATGCTGTCTTATGTTATCAAGTTTGTATTGTCATGTCTGCGTCTCATGTTTCCTGTTTTATTTTGAAGGTCTGTGTCCTATTTCAGTGTAGTCGGCTTTGCTTCCTTTGTCTCCTTATGTCAGATAAGTGTCAGCTGTTCCCCCATGTGTTCCCACTCCCCTCATTAGCCTTCTGTGTGTATTTAGTCTGTGTTTTCTCATTCAGTCTTTGTCAGGTTGTCTGTTGTTCTTGTCATGTTTCAGGTTTTGTTGCATCCAGGCAAAGTTTCATGTTGAGGGTTTTTTCATGTTTATTTTTTAGTTTCGCCAGGTTAGGTTATTGTTTATGCTCATCTTTGTTTTCCTTATGTATTACTTCGTGTATCAGCCATATTAAACGGCTCGCTTTTTGTTAATTCTCGTTTTGTTCCACGTTCCATTTTGCCTGCATTTTGGGTCCTCTTCGCAAACTCATACAGTGTGCTGCCCCGTACTGTGACACTAGCCTAATTTGCATTCCTTTTTCTCCAATACCAAAAGAGTCTCAGATGTGCTGAATGGAGAAGATAATCTAATAATTAATCCAACAGCTAATAGGACAAAGAAATGGAAAGCAAAAGTCAGACTGATTTTTGAATCCGATTCCTGGATTCCAATTTTTCTTTTTAAATTACATTTTAAAAGATTTTTAATATTTCTTTTTAATTCTGAGTTTGAAAATGTTTCTAAATGAGGTTTTAAACAGGAGTTTAATACTTTGTTTTTAATTAAATTTTTTTTTTTTTTAATCTTTTTTGAATTTGAACTCATCAAAGAAAAAGCAAGAACATAGGTGGAAAACACCACTGTGAGTGTAATGAACTTTTCTGAAAGACTGAGGAAATGTTGGTGATTCCTTCTAATGCAGAGACATTAATTGGAATTGGGTCAAAAAGTGCCAATGTGAATATTAGCCATTAGACCTCCTTAAATGTATTTATTTTTTTGTCAGTTCCCCTATGTCTAGGTTTATGTCAGTTACTGTGCTACACTAGCTGTTTTATTTTGATACAATTTTGTCTCTGCTTGTTTAGCTTTACTTATGCCAGAACATAGATTTAACTCAATAAGACTGAAAAGTACAATATTCACAGATGCACAGAAATCCAAAAGAAAGTAAATACATTTACATAATGTACATGGAATAAACGATTTGAGACATTTGAAGACGGGAAGGGAAAAAATGCACTTACTGAGTATTGATCTGAAATATATAACATGCAATGATGTGTGTGCAAGCTATAGAAAGGGCTTCACTTCCTGTTAAACAGCAGTGCACAAAACAAGGGGAAGTTAACATTCAACACCATGACATTTTCACTGAATTTAACAGTCACTGAGTGGTGAGATAAATGTGTGCATAAGCCATCGTCATAGCTAAGGCTTTTTATGCACTTACGCAGTGCCTAGGTTCACCTCAGCTAATGCTGAGTCCATGCAGAATCACTATGTGCTCCACTTCAGTCGACACGACTCTGCATAGCTTTGATTAGCGGAATCAGAAATTTCTGTTTCTCAGAAGTCAATACTAGATAGAGAATTGGTATGCAAAGAATGGATAATGCAAATATATATTTTACATCAAATGGTGAGAAATGTCATGCTACATTCATTAACATGCTGATCAAACCTTAATCAAACATACTCATTTGCTAATGTGGAGTGGAGTTAAAAGACAGAAATATGAAAACTTGAGCATATAATAAATGTTTCACAGAGTGGCACACTGCTCATTTTATTCTTTTTAAGGTACCTGGAGACGGAGTGCAGCTCAAAAGGATCATCTGGTCTCAGCGTGTCCTCTCTCGGTCACTGTGTGCAGATTTTCAGCTGCTGAAGAGGTCTAACTTTTTTAGAGAGGTCTAAAAAGTCTAATGCAGAAAACGTGCATATGATCAATTGAGGCAGTTCGCAGTAAATCAGATAAATGTGTAATGGACATACAGTGCAAGCATTTCACTACTGAAGATGGAGGAAACCAGTGTTCTTTAACAGGTTTGAGGTCCAGAAATGTGTAATTCACATCTTTGCCTCCTAATTTATTGACGTAATTTATTGACCCCTGTTAAACAGTCGGGCACAAGGGAAGATTTTTATAGTTGGCAGAGCCTCAATTATTTGATTGAGGCTCTGGTTCCCGTAAATCACCTGATTTATTCTTAACTCTTTCAGCAATTTCAGGATCACTTTCAGCATCACAAAGTGCCTCAGTCTCAAACCTGTCAATTCCCGTTAAAATTTTCCTTAAAGTAATCATCTCTATCCATCAGAGTCTCAACCTTCATCACTGTTTAAGTTGGGTCGCATAAGTCAGGTGTATCTCTGATTGTTACGTCCTCATACTTTGGATGGTGTTTAAGCAAAGTCCTCACAAGCTTATGAGGAGCTGATTCCATGTCACAGCCTGAAACAGCTGATGCCCTTTGAGAAATGGATCTCAAGTTATGAGCGATTATGTTACAGTCTTGGTAACTTCACTACTTCTTGTACCTCAGCGAGCACACAGACAACATTGCCATGAACAGCTCTTTTGTTGGCCTTTTGGAAGAGGGATTACTTTGGCAAATGCTATGCACTTGGCAATGAGATGCCTCTCTAACATGTTCAGGTCGCACAGTTCATTTGGAATATCTGTAAGCTGTAAATTATTAGCTATTGCTAGGGGAGACGTATTACCATTTTAAGCTGTCTTTGGCAAGTGTGACAGATCCACCCTCTCTTTCTGTTATTTGGAAGCATGCACTGTTCTGAATGTTGGCATTTATTATGGCAAACTAATAAACTTTCCCATAAGGCAAAAGTTTGTCCTAAGGGTTAGGGCTGGTAAGCCCACTTTTTATTTGTGATTGAAACTGTCATTTTGGTGTCTATTTTGCATCTTCTTCTTGTATACTTTTGGCTAATGTCTATTGCAGTCTGCATGGTGTTACTCAGTCGTTTGCATTTGTTACACATTGTTTGTCTTATTCGTTGTTTAAATGTAAATGCAGCATCCTTTGCATAATGAGTGGTGATATAAGCCTTTTAAGACTCTTCGAACGAACCTCTGCTTTTGCTTAAAGCCGATGTCCTGTTGGTATCGGTTTGTGATGTATGGCGTTTGTTTTTGTTGGAAACTTCTGTCTTGATGATAATGAGCTTGTTGATATGAATTTTAAACTCTCGCAAATCCCACTGCCATATCTCTTTCTCTGTTGTGATTTTTTTTTTTAGCATATGGTAATTCTCAATTTTGTTTCCAATGTCAAAGTTCTCAAGTTTTTCCTTAGAAATCTTTGTTTCTGTTTTTTGGTTATTTGGTTATGAGAAGCTACCTCTAGCAGACTGTCATGCTGAAGTTTATCTGCACTTAAACCTGAGATGTGTCCCTTTTGACAGGAGAAATACAACCCTCCTGCCTAAGCAGTCAGTGCGACTGCTTAGGCAGGAGAATTTACATGTGGCAGAGTGCTTTGCTTAAGCTCATCTGGATGCTGAAAAAGCACAGGCGTCAGTTCAAAATGAGCATCTCGACTGGTGCCTAACTTTAGTGAACATTTTGTTAAGTTTTGTTATAAGATCATCCAAATGTGTGAAAAGAAACCCAACAGCTGTACCAGTACCATCTGGGCCCAGGTCAGTCCGTCTGGTTGCCTGGAGTGTGGATCACAAAAGCCAAACCTTCCTGGGCCGAAAATAATGTCAAAGATTTCTTCTGTGTTCAAGAATCTTTGGACTTTTTGTAAAGTGTAAACACAAGGTCAGAGATTTTCAGGTGTTGCAAAACCAGATAAGAAGCAGCAGGGGCCATACTCAGACAATCTTCCTCTTCTGCAAATAGAACTACTGAAAAAAAGTTTTTCATGTTATTTATATTAACTGTTGTTGGCATGCACAAACCAAATAACTAAAAACTCTTGTGGAACAGCATGAATAAATTACCTACATTTTTTATTAGAATGGTCAGCCCCTCCGAAAATTTGCTGCCCTCCCCCTAATGGCCCATCCTGGTAAAACTGTCTTATGTTGGTAATAATTCGAATAAACGTGAGCACAAGAGAGATGAAACATTAACATTAACTTATAATTATTTATTCCTGTTTAAAACACATTATTATGGATTTCAAAATCTTATTTGGTTTTCATATGTACCTATTTTCAGTGATATCAACTTTAATAGCAACGTCTCTCTTTTTTTGCAATATTTTTCAAGCAACCTATATTTGACAACAGCATAATAAAACTGGAAATTCTGTTTTTTGTGCGCAATCCCCAATATTTTTAGTGGTCCCTATATAGGCCACCCTTATGAAAAAAAATCTGGAGGCGCCACTGATAGATAAGCGGAAGAAAATGGATGGATACTTATGATAACACAGAGGCAGTACTTGGCACTCCCAAAGCTTTACAGACGTTTTTCCAGAATCCTGTTTCTCTTTCAACACTTTCTTCTTCCACCTGGTTCTGACAGAGTTTTATGCGTGAGAAACGAAGAAGACGGACCATCTTTAAAGAAATAAACCTCGTTTTAAACAAACGGGATTGGTTGCCAAGGTAACACAGCCGGGCACGTGCGCGCACACCTGCCGCAGTTTGAGTTTAATTAAACTCTCTTTGCCCCTCTCCTCAGTTCAAACCAAACCACTGACTCCGGTGTGCTGTCGCTGGGATGGCTGAACCCCGGAGAGTTCAGCTGTTTACTCTCAGCAGTGATGCGCCCTCTTCTAACTCGCCTTCGACCCACAGGTGTCCGTCAGGGCTTCCGCAGATGGAAGAATCCCGCTCAGACCGACCCGCTGACACTGAAACAGTCCGGCTCGTCCTCACATTATTTGAGCCCGACGAGCGGAGCTTCCCGGAGTTCAGCTACAGGCAGCTTGTTGATGACAAGGTGGGATTAAGTCACGACGTCCACCCTCCTAACCTGTAACCAGTTAAGATACAAACAGACCCGTGACTGTAGTTAGTCTAGGTTAAGAAGGCTAAATATATTTTAGGCTTTTGGCTAACCACATGAATTTGTAAACCATTTAAGGTATTACACACATAAAAAGCAGTTCAGTTTGAACTGCATTGCTAATTCAGTAGCAGCCTTTACTTAGTTTTTTTAAACCACTTTTGAAAATAACTTTTTAAAGCCAGAGCTGGGTTTAAAAGTTAGATAATAGTCAAAGTGGGACAAAGATCTGCTTAAGTAACACTCACAGTGGGAGTAAATTGCTGTTCTGAATGACTTGATTTGTTAATCTCATGAAAAACTAATAAACATGCTGGTTGCATTGGAGCCAGACATGTGTTCAGTTTCCTGTAAAACAATGGTTGGCATGGCATTTGATGGGTTTCAGATAAGTCAGTCAAAAGTTGAAGGACCACTGAGCAGACTAGAGAAGGAAGAAAAGAGGGAGAACGATGAAGTTGCTGCCATTGCAAGGAAGTTGGAAGAAAAATATGTGAGTAGCCTTTTACTCTTGTAAACATGTAAACAGATTTTGTTTGGGTTTTTTTTTTTTGGGGGGGGGGTTTGTGAGGGTTGATGGGTGCTTGTCTGCGGCTGCTTGGCCCAGAAGTCAGCCTGGACACGATAACCTGAGAATCTCTTTTGATCAGGTTTTCTGAAACTCTTGTGAAACAAGGTGTGTTTAAATAGGCACTTGACAAATAACAGCCAATAATGACTGTTTGGTCATCTATACTGTTCAGAAACTGCAGGTAAGAATACAATGTGATAAAGAGAACGTTCATATATTAAGGCTTAATAAATTATGTTCACTTGTGGTGACACAGGTGGTGCCTCCGAAAGCAGCCTGTTACTCCTTTTGTTTTTTAAAAAACAATTACCTTATTAACCTATAACATTAAATTGATGTGTGAACAAAAGGTAGCGATCACTATGATAAACATTTGTAAATGGTGCAGTAATGTTATGCTTCCTCTCAATACAGGGTGCCAAACCTAAGAAAAAAAAGGACCGCATCCAGGACTTGATCGACATCGGATTTGGTTATGATGACGAGGATTCTTTCATTGACAACTCTGAGGCTGTGAGTCGGTGTTAGAACACCTTTTGAAATTTCTCACAGCTGGTATAAACTCGTCTTTGCCTGCTGTGCTGCACAAAAAGACGGTTTGATTTATAGATTATGACAATAACCTCACTCACCACTGAGTAAATGTTGTTTCTGCTTAAGCATTAGCTCGCTGCTGCACGTGAAAGCTCTCAACAGGCATCATGTGTACTGCTTGTGGTTATACAGTCCCTCAGTAGTTTCTGTAATTGTATTACATACTGCTTTTAGTATGACGAGTTCGTGCCATGCTCCATCACCACCAAATTTGGTGGGTTCTATGTGAATTCGGGCGTGCTGCAGTTCCGCCAGGCCTCTGACACCGAAGACGATGACCTCACAGCCGAAGAGGAAACGCTTGAGATGACAAAAGTAAGCAGTAAGAGTACATGACTGGCTGCGCTGGATATTTTGGCAAATCTGCTAAATAGATTTAAAAGGAAATTTTTTTATTGATCCTCGTACCCAAACATTTTTTTTTTTTGCACCAACATTTTGGTTCTTTATAATGTTTTTGAGTTGTTTTCAATACCTTTGAACAATTTCCCAGAAACGTAAACTGAATAATGATCAGGAGAAGCCAGGGAAGAAGCTGTGCAGAGCAGATGGAGAGATAAAAAGCAACATGGATCATAAGTCAAGGTGAGGCTGACCAAAGTTAGATACTGATGCTGTAAAGCTGACTTAACAACACTAAATTATTCCCTTGTAATTTTCTTGTTTTGTAGCTCTTTGTCTGAAATTGGGCAGACTGATGAGATTGAGATCAAAAAGAAGAAAAAGGCTGTTAGGACTCTGAGCGTCACCAGCATGCTGAAAAAGTTTCAAAAAGAAAAGGAGAGAGAGAGACAGAAGAGAGCGAGGGACAAGGCAGCTGCAAATCTGGGTGCAACAGCAACCCCTCTGTTTCCTGCAGATGCAGGTGGGGGTGGAGGCATGGGGCTAACTGACCCTCTTCTCAGTTTAATTGGTTCAACCAATGACCACGCTCTTATTCAAGCAGCCAGCACAGTAGATTTTGATATTGATCTGGACTCTCTGTTAGAAGTCAGTGAAGAGATCTCATCGCCTAAATCACTTCCTCAACCAGCATTAGAGATGCAGCTGATCCAAAGCAAAACGGATGATCCCGTGCAGCTCGACACCTTTTCTGATTCCAAAACCCGAACTTCAAATTCAAAGAATAATTTTCTGGAGAAATGTGAACCAGAGCAAACCCAGCTTGTGTCAGATTCCAGTTCTACATCACAGAGCGCCCCGCTGCCAGAGGGACTTCCCCCAGCGCTGAAAGACAGCATTAGAAAACTCACAGCGGTGAGATGTTATGTATTTCTGCTGAAAGGAAATGCCTGTGCACACTGTATAGGATGACAAACTGATTGCAGTTTAATGAACAATGTTTACACTGATTTTTAGGCAGCCAAGATATCAGAGGGAGAGTCAAAACTCAAGTTCTTCAGTCCAGATATCAACTCAATCCTGCTAGAGTGAGTTTTCCCAAGTGAACATATTTAAATGTAAAACCATTGAGTGTGGTGTTTAAATGCATGTTTCTGCTCTTGGTGTTTTGGCACAGCATTGAGTTACAGTGTCGGGAGCAGAGTGGGTCACTGCGCTCCAAGGTGTACACACACCTGTCGTCTTTCCTGCCCTGTAGCAGAGATACGCTTCTCAAACGTGTAAAGAAACTGCTAATCGCACAAGTGGTGAGTGTGCTCATGTGTTCAGCTGCATTTCTATTACAGAGTTGTAAATTATTTATACTTGTGTGACCTGCTTCTTATATGTGCTCTTGATAAGGGGGAGCTCCCTGGGGTGGAAGATCCCATGCAGAAACTTAAAGATGCCATTGGAAGATCTATGCCTGAGCAGATTTCATGTTTCAATGAAGAATGTCAGGCATATGAACAAGTCAAGACTTCAAAGTAAGTTCATTTATTCTTGGAAAATGGAGGTGAGACTACCAGCTACTAGTGTCTATAATTTTATTTAACAAAATAAAATCTCCTTTCCTACTTACCACGTTGTCTCATCTCCCATTCTTTGCCACAGTTGTGGCTGTATTTAAATATTACAATCTTTTCTTTAACTTTGAACTTGTTACCCCTCTGCCACAAAAGGCTGATGGCTGACACAACCAAATTGTACAATTTCAAAAAGGCAGATGAGACATGAACATTACTCTACAGCATGTACATGCAACTGCTAGGCTGGGATCAGCATTTACTCAGCTTTAACAGCACTCTGGCTTCTGGGCTAGCTTAGCATTAGCATGTTGGCTGTGCAGGTGCTTGCAAAGAGAATTGGACTACTGGGACCATCCCTAGCCCTCTTTGACAATGGCATTTTCTGTTTATCTAAAGAGCAACAGAGGACAATGATGAGGAGAAAACTGGGAGAAAAGCAGGTCCTAAGAAAGTGTTCAAGTGGAATGAGGAGATCAGGTAAGCTGTAAAGATCAATCACGTGTTAACATGCTTTATTTCAGTAAGATCTTTTAAAACTGTGCTTTAGTCCATGAAAACGGACACTTTGCCCTGTTCTGTCATTTAGAGAGTGTTTGGGCCAAGTGCTGAAAGCAAAAGCAGACAATTATAAAAAGGAAAGGAAGGGGGAACAGGAGGTTGAAGAGCATCTCAAGATCTTTCTTGACAATGAGGTCAAACCGCTTTGGCCAAAAGGGTGGATGCAATCTAGGTAAACTATAATGGTGCAGTTTCAGTGCTGAAACTTTATTTTCATACTTTTAACTATACACATGTTACCACTTAAATGTCTTTTTTCTCTCTCAGGGTTCTGATGAAGGAGAGCAGGAAATTGTTAGATCTCTCGTCATTACTGTGAGTGCAGCGATGTGCGGAATTAAATGTTGTTACTTGTATGAATTTCTACATAAAATGTTTAAAGTTATTTACCAAAAATGCAAGCATTGTTTCACATGTTTAGAACGAAGAAGGCCAAGTGTGAGAAGAAGCAGTCATGTTCATTCTCAGATGACTGTAATGACGATCGGGGAAATTCACCACTGACAGAAATGTCCAGAGGAGCAGCTTCTGCCTTCACTGAAGGCTCCAATATACTCAGTTCTGTTCACGAGGGTGCTGCCATGAAGAAGGGCGAGGTCAAAAAAGTGGATCTGAATGTCAGAGCCACCTCAAATGCAGAGTCTGAGAAATCTCAAGTTGATGAGACTCCCACTCATTCCCTCCTGGATCTCCTTGCTGAACAAGCCCTGGCTCAGGAGCAACACCTCCCAGGGCTCCAGGAGCTCCTAGCAGAAGCTGCAAAAACCAAGTGTTTTGTTCATCACTGGAGCTTTTCGGAGACACAGAGTTCTCCCCTCCTCCCTCCTCCTCCTCAGTCCAGCCCAGTTGGTTTCCCAGCACAGAGTACATGTGGTGACATTTTGCCTCAGATGCTTCAGGTTGGAGGCACCAAACATGCAGATGCTGTTCAGGTGCAGAGAGTCTCTGAAGGTAATGGTGCTACAAAATGACAACCTTCAACAAAGACATGCAGTAAGTTGTATATTTTCTTTTTGCTCTAACATTACAACAACTCTGAATTTAGAGTAGTGCTCCTCATGTTCAGTTTTCTTTCTGTCTTAATAAAAGGGGACGAAAAGGGGACACTCCAATGATTTAGGGAATTAATTGGATAGCAGTTTTATAGAACTGAACTAAAATTACCAGAAATGCTCAAAATGACAAAAATCAACAACCGAAGGGACATGTTTGTCCTGGAAACAAAATTAATTTCAAATTCAAATCTCATATTTAGACAAAATAAAAGATGGCTGTTGCTCCAAGGTTCAAAATTGGCTCCAAAATCCTGAAACCTGCATTCTGTCTGCTAAGAGTGAGAGGATTATCCAGGATGTGTGTTAGCTAATGGTTTCGACACGACAATGGCAGCAAAAACTTCATTGTGGGACCAAACCAGTGTGTGACATCATGGTTTAGTAGTTTACGTTTTTATCAAACACAACACATTAATTGCTGCAAGATGCTTTAAGTATTCCAATAAGTTTCAATGTCAAACTAAAAGCTTTACAATCAACATTTTGTCAAGTAGATAAAACGTTTTTCTTTTTAGATGGAGCAGAATCCTTGAAGATGAACTGGGCACATGATGAGGTTCTAATGGAGTAGTTCTTATACTAAAATCAACCAAGTTAATGTCTTAAACTACACACTTTCACTTAATACATAATAAAGAGAGCATGTCATAGGTGTTTATTTGGTGCTTTATTTTCTTAACATTTTGTACAGCAACTGAAGGTTTTAGTAACAAATGAGTCCAAACAACAAAAGGTTCAACTGCCTAATTAGCTTATTAAAGCTGAAATTTATTGTGCAATGAAAGTATTGCAAGGAGTAATGCAGGAGCTGTGAATAAGGATGTAAAAATAAAATGTCTCAACAAGCCTAAAGGACGATGAGGAAGTCTAAAGTTACCCAACTAAAGAGCAGGCTGTTAGACAGTTAGCCTCTTGTACCCTTTGGGTGCAGCCTTTGGTTTGACAGCTAACCCAGACAGTTTCCAAAAGGGGGTGGAGCAGGACACTTGGACAGTGAGTTGACACATGCATTATGCCCAAGGATTTATTTTATGTTTTTTTACCCTCACCCACATCAACACATTGATCCAGTTTTCCAAATCCAAAGAAAATCCTTCAAAAAACTCTTGGATTCTTTACATGGCAGGATGGGGGCATAACTCAGCATTTCTTCAGATATCAAATAGTAATGAAACACCATTGTGATGTTCTAAAGAAAATATGACAACCAGATATCTTTCTGGAATCCTTTGCTGGACTGTCTCACCTTATTTCCAGTTTCAGCTCTTGAAAAGTAAATTGTTTTTAATTAAATCATACTGCTTTCACATACCCATGAACACTAAGTGACTAAGGACTAAAATGTGAATTTCTTTCTAGAGAAGCTTTCAGTCTGGAAGATGTGAACTTTGCCTTTTGGGCAGATTACAAAGACAGCTTAGTTACATAAGAACATGTACCTGGACAGAAGTTCAGCAACAAAACGATTAAAAAGAACAACTAGAGAGCATCATCTGCTTTTAGTGAGACTCCACTGTCTTTGAAATGCACATAAAGACATTCACATTCAAAGCTGAGCCTTGAGGACACAAGAAGTGACACAGCAATGAACATTTCTCTGCATTTTCTACAGCAGGAACACTTTTATCCAAGTAACATGGAAAGAGGAGCTTTTAAGGTTTTACACGTGAGTTATCATCTGGGTAAGAAGAACAAGCAGCAAGGAATGTCCACAACAGCTGTTTGCAGTTCCTGGAAAGCAGAAGAGACCGTTTTCAGCACAAGATTACTCCAAACCTTCGGTTTAGGATTCTTCTCATGAATTTACATGATCATATATCAGAACAAAAGATTTCTCAAACTCCAGGAAGGATGATTTGGATCAATGAAAGTAGAAATGTTAACAGGGAGCATTAATTGTGCTTAGTAGTAATGCAGACAGCCCTACCTCTGGCAGAAAGGATTTTCACTTCCACTGTGAAGTTTTTTGGAAATAATCCTTTAGCTTGGATTGTGTAATTTCCAGCATCCTTTTTATTTAAATGAGAGGGTGGGGCAACTATCTGCCCATTTCTGAACCAGGTCACTGATGGCTGAGGGTTTCCTGTCACCTCACATGGGAATCTCTCGCCCTCTGTCACCTTAAGTTTTACAGGACAGCTAAGCTGTGGTGCAACTGAAACAAGAAGAAAAAACAATCAGTGGAAGAAAAGACACGTAATACATTTCATCTAACCAAGGAAACTCTGTTTCTTCACTTTTCTAGTAAGAAGAAAAATATGGTTTAAGCAGTTGTATGTAACACTTTACAGCTGACAGGTATATGACTGGAGAACAAAGAGTGCAGTTTCATTTGAAGTAGTTTGAATATGTGATTCTTGAAATTGCATAAGGAAACATTACACATAACAGCTTTATATTGCCTCATTAAAATGCCTCTTGAGTGATAAACTGGTTCGTAGAGCAGAAAGTCTTCAGTCATATGTTATTAACAGTGCATATATTGTGACTATGGCAGAAGCTCTGGTGGTCATTTCCCACAGTCAATAAGTAAATAAATATTAGATTATCCACACCTGAACTGTGATATGTTCTTTGCTGTATTTTCTGTACGGTTGTCACTCCCATGTAAAAAGCAATTTTGGAAATGCTGTCGGGGCTTTACCATAATATTGCATCCCGCGCACTAAGCAGATCAGGTTATACCTACAGAGCTGTTATGCTGTTTTAAGCTTTGATAACCATATGCACATTAAACGTAGCCTGGGTAAGCAGTTGTTCAGTGATGCTGGGAAAGCTCCAAGTGGCAGAACCGGAGCTCAAAATGTACGTGTTTTAAATGGATGCTGCAGTGTTTGAAGCAAATAGCTTGCATCCACCCTTTTGGCCTTACAGAAAAAGCAAAGAGGGATCCTAAAGATGTGGAGAAGAGAAAAAGAACTAAAGGGGAAATTAAAAAACAGAATCCACATAAATTCCAAAAATTCGTAGCGCAGATCACTGGTTTCACTTACAGAGTCTTTGTGATGCCATCACTGGAAGGTGCTGTGGTCCTTCAGGTCCCAGCTCAAGTTTGGCGTCACACCAGTACTGAGCTTCAGTGTCTTCCTTACTGGATACGATGTTCAGAGTGAAGCTCTGAGTAACTGGTTTCTTCTCACTGGATGTATTAGAGTGCATCTGAGCCAGCATTTTCTCCCCTCTGTAGAAGGTCACGAGGACGTTTTCAGCAGGCGCAACCTCTGTAACGTGGCACTGTAGAGTATACTGATCACTCTCAAACAGTGACTCATTGTGATTTAGAAATGTGATGGATACTCTGTCTGGAGGCTCTGTGGAGAGGGGTTGGCATATCAGCTTGTAAAGTGCTTCATGCATGTCAGAAGGATAATGCTGTTGACTTACTGTAGACTATTAGGGTGAGTTTACTGTAACACTGTCCTCCCTGTTCAGATAGGGCAAAACACACAGGCTTGATGGTCCAGTCAGTCATCTTCTCAACACTCCAGACCAGAAAACCTTGTGATGTAAAGTTAGGACGGTTCTGGAGTGGCAAAGGGTAACAAATCACAAAGCTATTCAGATTTTTCTTTTCTTTTTTTCCTCAAGTGAAGGCAATGAACAATAAACACAATGGATAGTGTGTGTGTCACACTCAAATGTTTCAGCCCATTAAACTAATTTCAATATTAACAAGTAAACAAAATGCTGTTTCTAAATGGTGTTTATTATTAAGGGGAAATTAACTGTGGTGTATCACGTCTTTGAAAAGCGGAGTTCAACTTCTGTAGCCACACACAGGTCTGATTACTGCCACACCTGTCCTCGATCAAATCTCTTAAATAGGACCTGCCTGACAAAGTAGAGTAGACCAAAAAGTCCTCAAAACCTAGAAATCATGCTGCGATCGAAGGAAATTTGGGTACAAATGAGAAACGATGTAACTCAGATTTCAGTCTGGATAAGGTTATAAAGCCATTTCTAAAGCTATGGGACTCCAGCGAGCCACAGTGAAAGACATTATCCACAAATGGCGAAAACATGGAACAGTGGTGAACTTTCACTGGCCGAACAAAGTTACCCCAGGACCTCAGCAACGACTCATCCAAAAGGTCACAAAACACCCCGGAACAAAGAATGGTAGGCCTCTCTTGCTTCAGTTAAGGTCAGTGTTCATGACTTCACCATAAGGTAGAGACTGGGCAAAAATGTCCCCAAATGGTTCCAAGATGAAAACCACTGCTGAGCAAAAGGAACATAAAGGCTTAGTTCAGTTTTCCAGAAAACATCATGATGATCCCCAAGCCTTGAAAAATGGTCAGACTGGGGTGTGTCCCATTACTTGTGGCATAAAAGTAACACAGCATTTCAGAAAAGGAACGACATACCAACAGTAAAACGTTGTGGCAGTAATGTGATGGTCCAGTGCTGCTTTGTTGCCTGGGGATCTGGGAGACTCGCTCTGGTAAATGGAACCATGAATCTACCAAAACATCTTGAAGGAGAATATCCAGCCTTCTGTTTGTGCCCTCAAGCTGAAGAGCACTTGGTTTTTGCAGAAAGACAGTGATCCAAAACACACCAGCAAGTCCACCTCTAACTTAAGAAAAAGAGCAGGACTGCTTTGGAGTCCTGACCTGAATCAGATTAAGATGCTGTGGCATGACCTTAAAAAGGTCATTCATGCTTGAAGAACCTCGATTTTGGCTGAATTACAACAATTCTGCAAAGACAAGTGTGCCAAAATTCCTCCACAGTGCTGTAAAAGACTCATTGCCAGTGATCACAAATGTTTGATTGCAGTTGTTGCTGCTTAGGGTTGCCCAACCAGTTATTAGGTTTAGGGGGCAATCACGTTTTTACACAGAACAATGTAGGTGCCCCCTCTATGTGGACCCCCAAAACTAGTTCATGCATTTATTACATCTAGGCTCGATGATGGTAATTCATTATTATAAGGATGCCTTAAAAACTCCCTGAAATGCCTTTACTTGAGGTGAAATGCTGCAGCAAGAATACTGACATAGACTAGTAAGAGAGTACATATTTCTTCTATATTGTCTTCTCTTCATTGGCTCCCTGTTAAATCCAGAATCAGATTCAAAATCATCATTCTAAAATACGTCTTTTAAGAATTTCTAGTACTGTATCACCCCATCAGATCACTTCACAGTCAGACTGAGTTCACTTGTGGTTCCTAGAGTATTAAAAAGTAAAATGGGAGACAGTCTCCAGCTTTCGGGCTCCTCTTTGGTGGAACCAGTTCCTAGTTTGAATTTAGGAGACAGATTCCCTCTTTACTTTTAAGTTTACTCTCAAGACTTTCCTTATTGACAATTATGCTGAAATTATGCTCTCTCCCACAGTGTCTTTTTGCCCTGTGTCCTCCTCTTCACCCCTGTTACGGCCCTAGCAGGGCCGTAACAGGGGTGAAGAGAAGGACACAGGCGGTGAGGGGGAGGTAACAACCCCCAACCAATCTCAACAATTGCCTGCCCCTCTGTGGGCACGGTTCTTCCACGGGTTTCTTCTCGTTAAAACGTTTTTCCTATATAAATAATATTGAATTGAATTTACCTTTACCACTTCTGCTGCTTCCATGGTAACCTTTTCATCTGTCTTCCTCTGATTTACACATCTATCCTGTTTTAGTTGTACTTTCATTCCTCTTCTCC